CTGAACAGGCAGGCAACCAAGCCTGGCATTGTTGGTGAAGTGGAGGAGGTGGTTGGTATTTTGACAGTGCATGAAAGAGTAAAGGAAGACTACCATGAAGCATCTTAATCACTTTAACCTCAAAATGCCCAGGAAAGACAAGGAAGAATTATCCCTATTCTATAGGTGTGGAAACTGAGGTACAGATGGAATGATTGACTTGCCCAGGTTTGTATGGGAAATCGCAGCCATGATTTCAACCCAGATCTGAATCTCAGGCCAGTTCCTCTACTGCTGGGACTTCCTTCTTGCCTACACTCTGCAAAGACTTTCCGTGTAAAAGACAAGACATTCCAGGTGTAACTGGCAGTGTAATGTCTTCACTGTATCAAAAAATATTTTAAAAGACAGTAAAACCTAAGGGGCATGGCTGTGCATGCACCATGGGAAATGGGAATCATGATATGGCCATGGAAAGAAGGTTGAGCAAGTGCCTGACATCATGGTATTTTATGCTTTTCTGAGACATGGGACAAATACCTCTTCCATTTTATCTGCACTGTAAAATCACTACCGTGGTTATTATAGGGACATCATAAAGGACTTTGCTTTGGAGGGGGAATAGTGGCTTTGCCACTTAGAGTCACTACAAGCCCCTTAGTTAAATCCTTCATGACAATCCTCTCCTATCACTGTGCCTGGGGGAGACTAGCGAGACTGATGCCAAGGGTGTGGATATTAGAAATATCTGTCAATCTCTTTACTGACAAAATACCCCCATCCCAACCACAACCTCTCTGGATCATAACTATTTTGCATTATCATGACATCACTTATCATTATCATCAGGCTTTCTGGCTCATTTGCTTATTACCTCCCTTCTCTCACCTCCATCCTAGAGTCTGGGCTTTCTGGGGCAAGGACTGAGCCTGATTTTATTTGGGGTATGCCTAGCACCTTGTGCTGCTAAAAATGAGCACCGGTACTCAGGGATGTCCTCATTATCAAATTCCACCTGTCCAACCCACGGCAAAGGAGGACAGAAGCAGCATCTTCCAGCAGTTAGGAACTTGCTGCAGCAGGCCAGGAGCACTGGGCTGCATTATGCAAGTTACACTCTGATTTACAGGAGACAAGAAGAAACCACACTTTTCCAGATGTGAAAAACCACATCCCTCCAAACTTTTATTTGCTTCCACTAGGTAACAGGATCTCACATTTGTCTTGGGGGCTCTGGGACACTGAGATAGGTGTGCAGGTGCATGTATGTGTGTGCATATGGAGAAGGGACTCTTAAGAGGGGATGGCAGATATCTGTAACCATCATTTGACCCATTTACTCAACAGTTTTGCAGGAAAGAGTCTTCTCAGCATGGACATCTTTTCACTACCAGGGTTAGAACATTTAGGAATAAAGTATTTAGGAAACTAATTCCATGGGAAATTCAACACCTATGTATCTTTGAGGAGCTGAGTATTTATCTCAGATAAAAAAAGAGAGATATTTAAAGGGCTTGTAGTGACTCTAAGTGGCCACTATTCCTGCTCCAAAGCAAAGTGGGGGAATCATGATTACATTATTAATTACTCAGAAAGATACACTGAAGCTGGAGTCTGTGCTTTGGTTCCTAGTGGTTGAGCCTTGCATTGCTTGGTGCCAAGTACTTGTTCTGCAGTATTGCCAATGGTAGTAGGACCCACTTCTCATTCAACAGAAGGGGAAAAGGTCATTTGAAAGTCAGGAAGACTAATATACTTCTATTAACAGGAGAACACTTGGGGAAAGGGAATGGTATCAACAATGGAGGAACTCATCTGGAGAAAGGAGAGAAGGTCGCTGTCCCTGACTTGTGAAATCCTTCCTTTCCTTGTTGAGATGGCCAACAAATTGACACTGTACTCATGGTTGATGTGGGCTTCTGTTCACAGCCTGCTGGTCTGAGATGCATCAAAGTAACTTCATAGAGACTTCCAATCAGATGGCAGATAGCAACAACTCTTAATTACCATAGTGCTGCCTGGTGGTTCTACTATCAGTGGAGAGCCCTGAATTCAGGAATTTTGGT